GATGTTGACTTAGACAATTATTTCTTAGATATAACCCTGACAGCACAAGTGACAAAAGACAAAAAAAAAAAGATAAATTGGGTTTGATCCAGAATCAAAAGTGTTTGTGCTACAAACGATACCATCAAGAAAGTGTAGAGATGATCTACAGAATGGGGGAAACATTTACGAATTAAATATCTAATAAGGGATTTATATCTAGAATAAAGAGCTTTCACAACTCAATAATAAAAACTCAGTTAAAAAATAAGCATAAAATCTAAATAGATACTCCTCCAAATGTGATACACAAATTGCCAATGAATACATAAAAAGATGTTCAACGTCATGAGTCATTAGGGAAATGCAAATGAAAGCCACCATGAGATTCCACTTCTTAGTAGGATGGCTAAAATAAAAAAGTCAGATAACAAATACTTAGGAAGAGATGGAGAGATGAAAGTTCAAATACAGTCCTGGTGGAAATGTAAAATTGTACGGCCACACTGGAAAACGGTTTGGCCATTGTTCAAAAAGTTAAACATTGAGTTACCATATGACCCAGCCATCCCACTCCTAGACGTATCCTCAAGAGAAAAGAAAACATGCATTTCCACAGCACTTTACAAATGAATGTACATAGCAGTGATATTCCTAGTAGCCAATAAATGGAAACGGAAACAATTCAAATATCCATCATTGGTGAATGGGTAAACAAAGCGCAGTATATTCATATAATGGAATATTATCTGCCCATTAAAAAGAAATGAAATATTGATATATGCTACAACATGGATGAACCTTGCAAACGTCATACCAAGTAACAGAAGCCAGTCACAAAAGACTATGTATTTTATGGTTCCATTTAGTATATACAATGTTCAGAATAGGTGAATCTATAGGACAGAAAGTAGATTAATGGTGTTTTGGGGATAAGAGTGTATGTAGGTGGGTAGAGGGTGGCTAGTGATTGCTAATGGGTTTTGTTTTTTTTTTTGAGTTAAAGTGCCATACAATTAGAATGTAGTTATGGTTATACAATTATTTGAGTATACTGAAACAGTTGTACAGTGTACATACATAGGTTTTTTGGTATGTGAATTATATTTCAGTAAAGTTCTTTAATTAGTTTATGCTTATTGTAGAAAAGTTGGAAAATACCCAAAATCATAAACAGGAAATAGAAAAAAAGTAATCCTGACTGGATATCTGGAAATTCTTTTTGGGGGGTATGGGGTATGAATCACACATATAAAATTTATTTTCCTACTTTTTCAATTAAATTGAGAAAGTTTAGGAATCTTTGGCTTAATCATTGTTTATCTACTCCTCTGTTGCTGGATGTTAGTAGGTTGTTTCTAGTTCATATAGAATTTTATAATTTTAGTTGATGTATCATGCATTCTTGGGCATAAGCTTTTATATGAAGTTTGAATATTAGGAAAGAATTTTGGAAGCTGTATTAGTTTTCTAAAACTATTATAACAAATTAACACAGATTGAGTGGCTTGAAACAACAGAATTTTAGTCTCTTACAGTTTCAGAGACCAAACATCTGAAATCAAGTGGTCTACAGCGTTGGTTCCTTCTAGAGGCTCGAAGGAGCATCTGTTCCGTGCCTGTCTCCTAGCTTCTTGTAACTGCCAGCCGTCTTTGGAATTTCTTGGCTTGTGTCTAAGTCACTCTAGTCTCTACATCTTTCCATCTCCTTCTCTGTGGGTGTTCCTTCTCCACTTCTCCTTTTCTGTAAGGATAGTCATGTCACTGGATTTAAGGCCCACCTTAATCCAAGATGATCTTGTTTCAAGATGTGGGCCTAATCACACTTGCAAAGACTCGTTTTCCAGATAAAGTCACATTCACAAATCGCTACCATTCAACCCAACCTACTATGGAAGCAATGGGGTGGGAGGTACCATTCAACTCACAGATTCCTACCATTCAACCCACTATAGAAGCAGTGGCATATCAAAAGGATGGGAGGTAGCTATGGGAATGGTCTGCCCCAGGTGCACGCAAAACAGGGAAGCATTTTGTATAGAATGGAAAAACAACAGCAAAGCTAGCTAAAAGTTGATCTGCTTTTTACAATCATGTGCTGACAGTTCTAAACATTATCAGTGATAAAATACTTCTCCCTAGTGATATTAACTGTGCCATTTCTGCTGCCCCTGCTACATAGATGCTTTACTGCTTGGAAACAGGATTACTTGGTGAAATAATATGAACCTTTCAATTCTCATGATACATGTTTTCAGCTTAATATCCAGGGTGCAACCCCCCAACTTTATACAAGGTAATACAAATATAATAGTATGAATACATATGCTAATTTGATAGAAAATATTTTAATGTTTACTAGTGTAGTTGGAGGTGTTAAGTATTGCACTGGTTATTTGTAATCTAGTTTTATAAAATTTCTAATGTCACTGTTTCTGTTAGACTCTTAGAAGACAGGTGGTTCTCTCATAGATATGTAAGAACTGTTTATATAGTAAAAATATGCAGCCTCTAAATGATTACTTATATTTTTCACTTTTGTTTTACTTTTTTAGAGAGCAGAATATTTACTTTCTATAAAGATTTTTCTTTATGTTTCCCTTCATTGCATGCCAGTGTTTTTTAAAAACTTGTAACTCTTAGACTGCGATGTGAAAACTGTCTTTCTTTTTTTTAATTTGGAGACAGAGTCTTGCTCTAATGCATGCAGTGGTGTGATCATAGCTCAGTGCAGCCTCGAATTCCTGGGCTCAGGTCCAAGTAGGC